GATACTGGTACAACTACCTTGCATGTACCGAAGTAGAGCGGCTCGGACTTGTTCTGAAAAAGGGTAGTGGAAAAGTCAAAGCAATCAACTCCGCTGCTCAACCAATAGCTGGAGTGGCGAAATCGGTGTTGATCAAAGCAGGTCCTTTCGAGGTAAGGACAAATTTATCTGCAATTCAAATGGATGATTTCAAGCTTATTCTAGGATTGGAATTTCTTCGGGATACTAAGATAGCAGTGTTGCCATATTCCGATTCGTTAATGATGCTGGGTAATAAGCCGTGTGTCATCCCTACACAGGTTGGAAGGATGGGCGAGAAGAGTATCTCAGCAATGTAATTTAGTAAGGGTTTTAAGAGAAATGAATCTTCCTTTTTGTGCACTCTTCGATTAGAGGAGATCGAAGAGATGAATGGTCCTATTCCAAAACCCGTTAAAATGCTTATTCAGGAATTTGAGTACATCATGCCGGACGAATTACCAAAAAAATTACCACCAAGAAGGACGATTGATCATGAGATTGAACTTATTCCAGGAGCCAAACCTCCAGCCAGGGCACCATACCGTATATCTCAGCCTGAGCTTGAAGTGTTTAGGAAGCAATTGGGAGAAATGTTGGAGAGTGGAATCATTGTACCTGCGAAGTCGCCATACAGAGCTCCTGTATTGTTTCAGAAAAAGGCCGATGGTTCTCTTAGAATGTGCTGCGACTATCGAGCCTTGAACAAGATTACTGTAAAGAATAGCTACCATATCCCACTGGTTGCGGATTGCTTCGATCGACTGAATCGGGCGAAGTATTACACAAAAATTGATCTTATGTCCGGATACTGGCATGTTCGGATCAAGGAGGGAGAAGAAGCAAAGACTGCGGTGGTAACCAGATATGGAGCCTTTGAATTTAAAGTGATGCCTTTTGGTTTGACAAACACTCCAGCAACATTTTGTACTATGATGAATCACGTACTTCACGGGTTTTTAGATGATTTTGTCGTGGTGTACTTGGATGACATAATAATTTACAGCGAGACATTGGAGGAACATGTCCAACATGTGAGGTAAGTTTTTAATCGGCTATGGGTGAATGAACTCTATGCCAAGCCGTCTAAATGCTCATTTGCTCAAACATCTATCAGTTTCTTGGGTCACATCATTGAACAAGGTAAAATCCGTATGGATTCGAAGAAGGTTATAGCCATTAAAGATTGACAACCACCAAAAACCCTATGTGATGTACGTTCATTTCTTGGGTTATGCAATTACTATCGAAGATTTGTAAAAGGCTATTCAGAAATTGCACTTACCGAATTGACAAAGAAGGATAAGGATTGGGATTGGTGAACTCAATGCCAAACTGCTTTTAAAAGGTTGAAGTTCATACAAATGCTTCAGATTTTGCACTTGGTGGAGTCCTCATGTAAGAAGGACATCCGGTAGCATTTTAGAGCCGGAAGTTAAATCAGACAGAACGTTACTCGGCACATGAAAAGGAATTGTTGGCAGTAGTTCATTGTCTCATAGGATGGCGTCACTATCTGCTTGGGTCTCCATTTATTGTGAAGACAGATAACACTGCAGTTAGTCACTTCATGTCCCAACCAAAACTATCAAGCAAACAGGCTCATTGGCAGGAATTTCTTTCAGAGTTCAATTTTATGTTAGAGTATCAGCCTGACTCTGGTAAACATGTTGCTGATGCTCTTAGTCGACGGGCCGACTTGGCTGCCATCTGTTCCGTAGCTGCTCTTTCATGGCACTGTCTCCACGAACACTAGAGACCAAATTCGGGCACTTATGGAGAAGAGCCTGGCTACCCAATATTTGGTCGACCTCATCAAGCAGGGTAAAACTCAACAGTTTTAGCTCAATGGGGAACTATTAAAGACAAAGGGAGACTGCCTATATGTTCCTAAGGGCGGAGATCTAAGAAAATCACTAATTACAAAATGCCATGACACAATTTGGGCAGGGCATCCCGGAAAGGAACGCACTTGTGCACTACTGCAACGTGCATACTACTGGCCTCAAATGCAGGACGACATTACAACATATGTAAAAATCTGTCTTATTTATCAGCAAGATAAGGCAGATCATCAGAAAAAGGCGGGCTTGCTAGAGCCCCTTTCTGTCCCAACCTGGCCATGCGAAAGTATATCGATGGACTACACTATTGGGTTGTCAAAAGTTGAGGATTTTGGCACTATCATCGTCATGGTGGACCGTATCTCAAAATATGCAACTTTCATTGCAAGGCCTAAATATGTATCCGCGAAGAGACAGCTCAACTCTTCCTCAAACATATTGTCAAATACTGGGGACTGCCTAAGGACATCGTCAGTGATCGAGATCCTCGTTTCACTGGCATATTTTGGACTGAGTTGTTCAAACTTCTTGGTTCAACTTTGAGCACGAGTTCTAGTTTTCACCCACAATCTGACAGACAGACGGATTGCTTCAATTCTATGCTAGAAGAATAACTTCGGTACTTTATCTCTACTTCGTAGAAAAACTGGGTAAAACTTTTAGATGCGGCTCAAATTTGCTTCAATGCCCAAAAGAGCTCTTCCACCAATAAGAGTCCTTTTGAGATTGTTACTAGCCAGCAACCGCTACCCCCTCATGCAGTGGTTATCGAACGAAGTACCAAGTCCCCTCAAGCAAAGAACTTTTCGCAAGAGTGGAAATGAAACATTGAAATTGCTCAGAATTATCTTGAGAAAGCTCAAAAAAGGTATAAAAAGGCTACAGATCTAAAGCGCCGTTTCATTGAATTCAATGTTGGAGATCTGGTAATGGTTAAGCTTCCCGATAGAAATGTTTACAAACCAACAAAAGGGAAGGACTCAAGATTGACGCCAAAATACATTGCACCATTACCCATCGTGAAGAGGATTGGAAGAGTTGTAAACAGAGTTGAACTCCCTTCATGGTGTAAAATCCACAAGGTCCTTCATGTTAGTGTGTTGAAGCCATATTTTGCGGATAAGGAGGACGCATCTAGAAATGAGCCAAAGTGACCTGTGTTTGAACTGAAGAAAGCTGGAAAGAAAGTTGCTGAAACTATTCTTGACCATCGAATCACTCGAGCTTCTAGAAAAGATCATCAGGAGTACTTGGTCAAATGAATTGGATGCAGCAGTGAGAAGAATACTTGGGAAAGAGAAAAAGATCTCGGAGCCTTCAAACCATTAATTGAAGCATATCATACATTGATGGCATCGAGGACGTCGCCAAAACAAATGAGGGAGAATGTCAAGGACCACAGCTTTACTTAGCCCTTTGACACTATCGTAGCCGCAGTTTGCCCAACTTCGGCCGCACATTATAAATATTACTTCAAATTTGAGTTGTAATTTTCTTTTCATTGTAATAGTTATTTCAGTTGTAAAATAGCTATGATATTAGTAAACGTTTAGTATGATTCCTCGTCTTTTAAACGTCTACTCCTGTCATTTAGGTTTTTGTTCAGAATGCTATTATAGGGAGTATTAGTCATTCAAAAATCTTTCAAGCTCACTGGTGTCCGCCTCCTGAACCAGTAATTGTAATTTTCTGTTTTCGTCAATTGTAATGTTCAGTTTTCATAAATCAATATTCAATTTATTTTCAATGTATTCAAATTTTCTATTGTAAGCTTTCGACAAAATTATAATCAAAATTTCTTTCATCCCAACGCAACCGAGAAAAGGCGGAAGGTAGTCTAGCGAAACAGACTACTATCGCATGGTGTCCCTTTCTGTGCCAAGAAGAAAGGCACCCCGTGAAACCTTGGGTCGTATTTGTATGCAAAGCCGTCGTGTTTGCCATATCCACAGTCATAGAAAGCCTGGATACACCTTAATTAGTGCCTTCACCACTTCTGCAACATATCTACTTAATTTTCTAAAATAAGAACTTATGCAAACATGTTTGGAAAAAAAAAAGGGTACTTGCCGAAGCAGCCATATAAAGGGCATCATATCTATTCTTTGCTTTGATACCAGCAGCCACTAAATCATGAAACTCCATCATCTCCCTTGCTAACTCGAAATAACCATATTCAGTAGCTATAAACAAGGCTGTCCGCCTGGCTGAATTTTGTTCTGATAACAAGTCCATCAATTCTTCCTCTTGAGTACTATTTATAATTTCCCTCAACGCCATAACCTTTCCTGCTTGAGCATCAGAATGCAACGTGTTATCACCATGTTTACTTGTCAATTGTTTAGTAATCTTTCTCCGAGGCGTAGGAGGGGAATGTCCGGCTACTGATGCCTCTATCTTTTTCGAATTTTTAGGAGTCTCTCCTTAGCTAGGCTCCCCTTCTCGGCCTACGCTAATCCACAAGAAATAGTATTGAAACTCAAAGATGATCGTGAAGCTCGGATGACTTAAGCCAGGAAGGATTTTGAATGCACAGGAATGAGGGCAACTCGTGCACATGATCAATGAAATTAAATTGATTCCAATTGTGTCAGGCTGTTAGTGTGTAAATAGGTGTGCAACAAACTACTGACTTTTTTGTATAATTCTGTTATAGCAATGTTGTATAAATAGGTCATTTTCCTTCCAAATGTACACACGGGAATTGAGAAAATAATTAATATAGTCAGCAGATTTTTTTCATCTCTGTTTTGCAATTCAATTCATTAGCATTTCATTTATGGTATCAGAGCCATGATGGCTGAAATCGATGGCAATAGCATCAACATTGATGCTAATCAAAATCAAACAACACCTCAAAACTCAAACTCAATTACAAATTCTCATAATCCATCTCTTCCCAACAACCCATACTTCATTGGGGCAAATGAAAACTCAAGAGCTTTGCTTGTCACACAGATGCTTGATGCAAACAACTACCATTCTTGGGCGAGGTCCATAAAGAGGGCCCTGAGAATAAAAAATAAGCTTAGATTTGTCGATGGGAGCATTTGTGAACCAACTGATATAAAAAGAGTCCCTTGATAGAACATTGGCTTCGTTGTAACGACATTGTTATTACCTGGCTACAAACACACCATGACAGTGGACATTAAGGAAAGCACATTATACGTTGAGAAGGCACACAAGCTTTGGGTAGATTTAGAACAACATCTTGCGCAACAATATGCCCCCAAAATATATGAAATCAAGCAAGGCATTGCAGCACTAATGCAAGGACAGGACACTGTAAGTACCTATTTTTCAAAACTCAAAACACTACTTGATGAATTGATAAACTATAAATCTATTCCCAACTATACTTGTGGGGGGTTAAAAATCGCAGTTTGCAATTAGGAACGAGATTGGGTAATGAAATTTCTCATGGGACTTAATGATTCCTACAAAGGTCTCAAGGCTCAGATTCTACTTATAAAGCCATTCCCAAAATTAAATGAAGTATATTCACTAATACAGCTAGAAGAAAAGAGAAGGAAAATCTCCAGTGATACTCATGTTTATGAAAGAATGGCATTAGTGTCAAGGACAGTTATGAGAGAAGCAGTGAAAAGAAATACAGGGCCACTGAAGAAGTATTACTACACTTTTTGTAAAATGGCAAGCCACTCATTAGAAAGGTGTTTCAAAGTCAATAAATATAAGCCAACATGCACACATTGCTAAATACTTGGCCATACTATCAGCAATTGCTTCAAAATTCATGGATACCCACTAAGCCATAAGTTTTATAGCAAATCTCAAGTGAATTTCACATGCACAAATCAGAATACGTCTTCTATGGGATCTGTACAGGAGCAAACTGGTGACAAAAGTCAAGTAACTTTGACTCAGGAGGAATACACTCAGTTGATGGCTCTAATTAAGCCATCAATCAATCAGCCTCATTCATCATCTGCCAATCATGTTCAGGGTTTGAATTCTCTTTCTCCAAAACATACAAATTTATCCAAAATCTCTTGCACTTATACGTGTTCATCTACTCACATTAGTGAATCTAGCACCACCATACCTTGGGTCGTGGACACGGGAGCCACAGACCATATGGTCTGCACAATGCCCTTCCTCACAATCATTAAATCCAAAATATCTCCACCTGTCGCATTACCTAATGGTGCTATAGCTTTGGCCACTCACATAGGAAATGTTAAAATCACAGAAAACTTGTTCCTTCGTGATGTGCTATGTGTTCCATCTTTCTCTTTTAACCTCATATCTGCAAGTAAACTTGCTCAAGGATCTAATTGCTGCCTTATCGTGTCTTCAAACTTGTGTTACGTGCAAGACCTTACAACTTGGAAGACGATTAGTTTGGGTAAAGTGAGTAAAGGGCTATATCACTTGGTGCCAAGAGAAGTCTCCCCTACTATCCTTGATCAAAACATGCCTAGATTAGTCAATAAAGCTGCTCTATCAGTCTCTGCTAATGATAGCCAAGAAAATTTCGATTTATGGCATTTCAGGTTGGGCCATCTTTCAGATTCTAGGATGGACTTGACTGATTTGCGTCCTAAAACAAAACACACCTAAAAGTATTGTGCTATTTGCCCTCCAGCAAAAATGCATAGATTACCATTCACAATCAGCCAACACAGATCCAAAGATTGTTTTGATTTGATTCAGTGTGATTTATGGGGTCTTCGTACTAATGTTGCCTATGATGGATCAAAATATTTTCTTACCATAGTTGATGATCATAGCCGGTGCACTTTGGTTTATTTACTGAAATTAAAATATAATGCATCTACAGCCTTAAAAAAAATTTACACATTGATTAAAACACAATTTAACTCCAAAATCAAGATCATCGGAACTGATAACAGAGGGGAGTTTAATCTGAAACAATTCTACTTGGAAAAGGATATCAATCACCAAACCAAGTGTTTTGAAACTCTCCAGTAGTATGCGATCGTTGAGAGGAAGCACCAACATATATTAAATGTAGCTAGAGCCTTGAGATTGCAAAGTGGATTGCCCATGATGTATTGGAATGATTGCATATTAACATCTGTCTTTCTTATAAACAGAACTCCCAGTCCTATCCTTGATAACAAAACACCATTCGAGCTTCTCTTTAAGACTAAGCCAGACTATTCAAATCTAAGAGTGTTTGGGTGTCTTGCATTTGCTAGCACCCTCGCACACAATAGGCATAAATTCAACTCAAGGGCAAAGAAATGCATTTTCTTGGGTTATCCTTTTGAAACCAAAGGCTATAAATTGTTGGACATGGAAACTAATAAAGTATTCACATCAAGAGATGTGATGGGTTATGAATCATCAAATCCCACCTAAAAATTGCCAAGTCTTGAAAATCTCCCATATACTTAGCCAAGCAACATTGACCTAAGCTATCCCATTAATCCTGGTCCTCAATTACAAATGAGAACCTCACAATATCCTAGTCAAGAAATAGACTCACTAGAAACAAACCATAATTCTATTGAATTGGAATTGTCACCAAATGCCTCAAATGGTCCTCATATCCTTCGCAAGTCTGACAGAAATAGAAGAACGCCTATTTATCTACAGGATTTCATATGTCAACAAGCTTCCTCACTCACCCATTCTCAATAGTCTAAAGGGGTGCCAAAATCTCAGGTAATCCTTTTCCTCTAAATGCAACACTTTCTTATCATAGATTGTCTAACAAGCACAAAGTCTTCTCTTCGTCCTTACTTGAACATCCAAAATCCACTACTTACCAAGAGGCTATCCAATATCTTGAATGGTGTAAAGCTATGCAAGCTGAAATTAAGGCGCTTGAGTCAAACCAAACTTGGAATGTCATCGATTTGCCCCTTAGAAAGGTACCATAGGATGTATATAGGTGTACAAGGTGAAATTTAATGCTGATGGAACAATCGAAAGACATAAGACATGGCTCGTGGCAAAGGGTTACACCCAGCTGGAAGGGATAGATTACCACGAAACCTTTTCACCTGTGGCAAAACTGATAACAATCAAGACATTACTTGCAGGAGCAACAATAAGAGGTTGGTATCTACGCCAATTTAACGTGAACAATGCCTTCTTGCACGGAGACTTGGAGAAAGAAATCTATATGCATATGCCTCCTGGATACCCCATCAATGGAACTTCAAAAGTGTGCAAACTTAATAAGAGTTTATATGGTTTAAAGCAAGCGTCACGACAATGGTACTCTAAATTATCCATTTTCATTACTGAACAAGGATTTCATCAGTCCAAGGCTGATTACAGCCTCTTTACAAAGAGCACAGAAAGTTCTTTTATAGCCATATTGATTTACGTGGATGATATTATAATAGCTGGAAGCAATGTGGAAGTTATAAACTCCCTCAAAGTATCGTTGGATAACAAATTTAAGATTAAGGATTTGGTAAATCTTAAGTATTTTCTTGGAATTGAGGTTGCTCGATCAGCAAAGGGGATCCAAATTTGTCAAAGGAAATATGCATTAGACATTTTAACTGATTCAGCTAATATTGGGGTCACTCCAGCCAAGATTCCACTTGATCAAAACACTAAATTGTCCAAAGATGAAGGAGAAGCCTTGTTTAACCCTGCCATGTATACAAGACTTGTGGGAAGATTACTTTGTTTAACGATCACCATGCCTGATTTATCTTATTCAGTACATTTGCTGAGCCAATACATGCAAACTCCTAGAGTACCACACCTCAATGTTGTACATAAAGTCCTTAGGTATATCAAGAGGTCACCAAGTCAAGGGTTGTTGTTCTCATCGTCATCCAATTTGTAACTTACAGCTTATAGTGATTCAGACTGGGGAGCATGCCCAGATTCTCGAAGGTCAATCACTGGCTATTGCGTCTTCATTGGTTTTTCATTGATATCTTGGAGATCCAGGAAGCAAAGCATTGTTTCCAGATCCTCAGCAGAAGCAGAATACAGAGCAATGGCAACTGTATGTTGTGAACTAACGTGGCTTAGATATGTCCTTAATGATCTGCAAGTTCCTCATTCACAACCTACTAAATTATTCTACGACAATCAGGCTGCCTTACACATAAGAGCTAATCTAGTGTTCCACAAGCGAACAAAACATATTGAGCTAGATTGTCATTTGGTGCGTGACAAAATTCAAGAAGGAAGTCTTGTCACAAAACATGTCAAGACTAGTTCTCAAGTTGCTGATATATTTACCAAGCCTATTCCCTCTTATAGTTTTTATCTTCAATTGTCCAAGATGGGAGTGGAAGACATCCACTCTCCACCTTGAGGGGGGCTACTAAAACTCAATGATCATGAAGCTCGGATGACTTAAGTCAGGAAGGATTTAGAATGCACTGGAATGAGGACAGCTCGTGCACATGATCAATGAAATTAAATTAATTCCAATTTTGTTAGGCTGTTAGTGTGTAAATAGGTGTGCAACAAACTACTGACTTTTTTATATAATTCTATTATAGCAATGCTGTATAAACAGGTCATTTTCCTTCCATATGTACACACGAGAATTGAGAAAATAATTAATATACTCAGCAGATTTTTTTTCATCTCTATTTTGCAATTCAGTTCATTAGCATTTCCTTTAAATAGCCTCCTACCCTCAAAAAAACCGTATCAGCAATTGAATTTTCTTTTAAACCCAATAACATAAACTAGAAAAATCATGAATCTAATTGTTTAAAACAACTGACAAATGGTATAATCAATTAAAATTATATCATATGTAACACAAAATTCTCATCTATTTTTATGATTTTCATTTTCTTTCCTTGCAGGAATACTAATAGAATTATCAAATAAAAATAAATGGAAAGCAAAAGTATTTACCTTCAAACAAAAAGGATCTTGATTTTCGAAAATTTGTGTATAATAAATAACAATTTAATGAAATAAAAGAAAGGTACCATCCAAGAAATATTTACATACAAATATTAGTGCATGTATAATGTATGTATATCTGAATCACATTCAGAGCTCTTAAATCAATAAAGAAACAATGGATGGCTTTGTATGAAGGTGTTGATGATGTTGGTTTTTAATTTTTTTTTTCTTTTTTTCAAACATAAAAATTAAGGCAAAAATATGGGAAACCAACGGGTGGAAAAGGGGTAGTTCACCACATTTCATTGTGGCCCATCATGTGCCAAGACTAGTCCACAAACCAAATAACAGAACCATAGGCTTCGAAAGTCCAAATGGCAGTACTAATATATTTATATGTCCCTCCGAATTATTTGGTTGCTCAAATTACACATTTCACTTTTTCTTTTTCTTTTTTTTTATCTTTTTTTTTTTTAGGTGTTGCTTGACCGAGTGCGACAGCACCAGAAGATTTATAAAGCTGATTTTAAATTTATTAAGAAAATTTTACTTCATTTATTTATTTATTATTATTATTATTATTATTATTATTATTATTATTATTATTATTATTATTTGTTATGCGTTGCTATAAAACATGCATTTTATTTATTCTTGGTCAAAGGTAAAATGTCATCAATGAATTTCAATCGAAATACACAAGTATAGATGCTAGCCATTTTTTTCATAAAAGGTGAACAAATTTTTTATTTTTTGCATAACACAATAAAAATGTCTGTAAGTGAAAAATTAGATGTATTGGATTGGTCATAGGCTAATAGCTAACTAGAACAAAATTTATAATTCGAAATTTAAAAGGAAGAAAAAATACTCTGTAAAAATTAGTGGTGTCAAATGAGTTAAATCGAATTAGTTTTTAGAGAGGTCAAATAACACGAGTTTTTTATGAGTAGCTCACCACATTTCTTTGTGGCCCATCATGTGCCAAGACTAGTCCACAAACCAAATTGAATTTATTATTGCATTAATTTTTTGTTGAATTCAGCATATTAAATAACTATTGACATATAACTTTTTCTCAAGTTGTACTTTTTAATGGACAACTTTATCAACTATCGAGGAAATCAAGAAGGGAAAATTACGTGCAAATCTGGAATTAAAGATCAATATTCAAAAAGAAGGGGATTAAGTTTAACTTTCAATTCTCAAGTGTTAATTACACATTATTATTTTAATATTATATTAAACTAATATTACACCAATAATTCAACCCATCCAATCCCTAACCTTTACCCACCGACACTATATCTTTCTCTCTCTATATGTATCGTTTTCCCCCATCTCTCTCTCACTATAGACTCTTTCTCTCTCTACATGTCTCGTTCTCTCTCTCTCTCTCTCTCTCTCTCTCTCTCTCTCTCTCTCTCTCACTACATACATTTTGTATGTCTATCACCACTCTACTCCGGTAGCCACCCAACTCGACGATAATGTGAGAGCCACTATAGCAACACGCAATGCGCTGTGAGGCGTTCGATGCTCCTCTGATGTTGGACCCGTTCGATGCACCTTTGGCATGACACTACCGCCGACCGTGTCTACCATGCGCGGCGAAGCAACGCCTAAGGGCTCAGTGGTGCTTGCTATACCCACTAAGCCATCTCACCCCCAACCGTCACACTTACTCAACGTCCATGGGCTTAGTGGATCTGAAATTTCCTTCTATCCGCCACTGTGGAGGTTCTTATGGTGTTGCAATCCTCAGCAAAAGTTTCTTTGGTGATTTTGTGGTGATTTTCTGTAGTTTTTGTGGTAATTTTGTTGCATTTTTTTGTTATGGTTTTTGAGGTGCTGGCCATGGTAGTGTGCTGTGGTGGTGGCGGCGGCGGCAACGAGTTTATGGATTTTTTTGGTGGTGTCGTGTCAATGGTGGTGTGGTGTAGCTGGAGATAGAAGAGATGGTGGTGGTGTGCTATGAGTGCTTTGTGCAGTGGTGCTGTGGCGATTTTTCGGGTGTTGTGGTGGTGGTGGTAATTGTGGGAGACAGTGGTCTAGATGCAGTGGTGCTCATGGTAGTGTTGGGGGTGCGATGATTTTCTTATCTATTGTTCTTTGGTGGTGATGGTGGGTTATGACTTGATATTAATTTGGTCACAGACAGTCACTCTGAATATAATTTTGATCATAGTTAGTCACACCGAATACAAATTTGATCACAGTTAATCACATGTATGCGGTGTGTGTAGATTTGTTTGTAGTGACCCTATACAACCAAGTATGTGTTTGTTGTAACTGTTTGTGATCAATTTTGTATTGATTGTGACCCGTTGTGACCAATTTGTATTGATTGTGACCAGTTGTGACTTGAGATTTACATAGTTACAGATGATCACATTAAATACAAATTTAGTCACAAATAGTCACATATGACACATGTATGGTCACAGATGTCACAGGTGCAAATCTGATCATTTATAACGCACCATTACAACCACCACAGTTTTTTGGTAATTTTTCAACAGTGGGGTGTAGAGAGAGATTGTTTTCAAATTTTAGAAATTTTTCTATTGGCAAGTCGGAGCAGTACCTGGAATAGTTATCGGAGTAGGCGCCAAAGTGATCATTGAAGCAATTTGCTGGAGTGGTCTTCAGAGCAATTTGTCGGGGTGATCACCGAAATAGTTGTCGGAGAGACCATCGGAGTGATCGCAGGAGCCGTTGCTGGAGTGGTCACTGGAGATGATAGCCATTTATGGTTGAGGGGTGGAGGAAATGTGGTGTAATGGGGTGATAGGATGAGGTGGATGGCATGGGTGGAAATAATTAATGGATATTATATTATAATTTAATATTTAATAAATTTATTTACCACCTAGTTTTTGAAATATTTGATTGAGTTTGTTATTTATGAAATGTGATCTTTAAAACTATGAGTTATGTGGTCTTCCCAATAAAGAACTCCAACCCAACAAATGAAGGTCGAGGTTCGGACTAGAAATCTTCCACAGTGGTCGATAATTCTCTAGCACGATCGATTATATGCCTCTTTCATTTCCTCAACGTGTGAGGTTGAGGATTGGAAGGTTCCTCGCGAGCAACAAAAGGCATAAACATACTACTAACACAACCATTACGAGGAAAAAAATGTACAGCATGTCCCATTTAGAAAACAGTACTGTTATTCAATTTCTTTGCTATACTGAAATCCTCATCATCTCCTTTCAACGATGACAATTTTGCAGAAAGACTTGAAGAACAAAATGATAGTATTGCAAAATTTACAATTATCTGTTGTCACATCTGGTTGGTTAAGAATGTTTAGGACAGCCTCTTCATATTATATGAGATAGGATCTATATATTCACATGAAACATTCATTATCAGGAGTTACGAGAATTATACACACTAAGTTGAACCAAAAAATTTCATTTATAGATCTGGTGAGCATGAAAAGTGCACAAAATACCAAATTATTCATCCACAGAGGATAGAAAACACTGTTTTCTGGAGATCCAAGTATAGAAATTCTAAACAGATGAGGGCACAAAAATCGACCTAAGAATAAAATTATGCATGCAAATTGTAGGGGTGATGATGCATAACCAAGATGCAACATTATTTTCAGGAAATCGTTATTTGTTAAACAATATTACCAACATAAATGCAGCAACAAAACATTCGTGTAATTTGAGTGATGTCTCTCGATTCAGAAGATATGACGTAGTCTCATCGGGGTATCTCCGCAGCATCTAACATCAACTTATACAGTGCAAATCCTCCTTGGTGACACCCAGGCATTTTAGATTTCATGCCCTCCAATTCAATCTGATAATAACACCAATCAGACGTAATATTTAGTAAACAGTCATGAAGCTGGCTCGAATTTTTCTTTTCTTTGGGCTTTCCAGTATAAAGGAAATAGACATTTCAAAGAATCAGGAGCAGGGTTTATATAAACTCATTAAAAATGCATTACACTGACCACTGACACGGCATAAAGCTTGGTTGATTCGTAGCCATCTTGAGCATTAGTATAAAGCTGTTGAATCTCCTCCGACTGAAGGCCGCATTTAATGGAGAAGAAAGCAGTTGGTCTAACATTCAGCACTCTGCGGGATATGCCAATAAAGACAGGCTTGCCCTGCATTATTATGGAAACTCTCAAAAATTAATCTTATTTTCCTTGAGAAAACATAAGAATGCTTTTTAGATAGATAAAACCCTAGGTAACAATACAGTGATCCACCAGTTATAAGTTTAGCAGACATTTGCACAGACATATAACGAAGTTGAAGGCCAAAATTTGTACGCTGATAGCTTCTTTCCTTTTGTTCAATCAATTTTAGATGACAATTACACTAAGATCTGCTACAAAATAGCGGTGAAACAGTCAATATTTGATATTGAAAACTGATAAAGGTGGATGTAGAAGATAAGGAATACATATGGAGTCATAAAAATGTGAAATAAAATGAGGAGCCCCAAAAGTGAATTAATCAAGGTAAAGGGAATTGTGAGATTTACACGGCCAAATTAAGCCCCAACTCCAAACACTTGAGCAGCCAAATGCCAAATGGATTGCCACTTACCAGGGTAGCAGCAGGAACTCCAATTTCTTCAACTACTTCACGAATGATGCTATCAAACATTTCTTCAGAAACCTTTCCATTGACCATCTGACAGTTCAACTCTCCGTCATTCAGATGGCATGTTATTCCAACTTCTTCGGGCTGCCACAATATGTAACATAGGATCGATAAAGTTAATGAGGATAATTGAATATGGAATTCAGCTTGAAGAGACCTTGATTAAGGACTGGCAACAGCTAATTGCTAAAGAACAAGAAATACAAACGTGAACGGATGGACTGAAAACTGAATTTTAATGACTGCAAACAACTGCCTCTAGGTTGATATGTTGCACCTAACTCCCTTTGCATGAACTCTAAAGAAGAAAATATGCACTATGCAATTAGCTATCAACAAAAATGAGAGAGTTCAAATCCTGTGAGCATGCATTCATTAAGATCTAGAAGACCAAAATTAAGAAATTTTTGTGCTCCATTAATATGTTACCTCTGGATGGCCACCAGGGAAAACAAAGGATCCCGGAAATTCACCGACATTAGTACTTCTTTGCAGCACAAGTATTTTTCTATCAGATGTCTCTACAATTGCACCATTTCCTAGAGGACTAGAGGTGTGTTGACACCATCTACAATCATCTACAGATGAAAAATAAAAAAATTTGTTATTCTTGGACGTTCTTTTATGAGACATTTCCAGGCTATCAACAAATCCATTAGAAACATGAAAATCAAAAAACAATATGATCAATTATACATTTAGACTAGATTCAAGCAGCTATGAAACTGTGCATCACCAGGAAATTTAAACATAGCTTCTAGTATGGAAATAGCAATCTCTGTCATTTCAGTCATTTACTTGCCAGGATAGCTCACGTGAATTTGCAATCCAGAACATAGAAAAAAGAAGCAGGAACAATTGCTTCACAGTGTAACTAAAAGGAAAGAAACATAATATTAAAATATGCAGGACTAACTATTTGCTTTATGAACTATTTTCCTTTCCAAATCATTCGTTTTATGTTTTTATTCTAGCAACTGAAAAGCATAGAAGCAAATGCTTCAACCATTTCAAGTATATTAAGTCAGATCTTGGCATTAACCCTTCGGAGATCTCTCTGCATTGACTATGCCGAAGATATTTTTATCTTTCTTTTCTTTTCATTTATTTTTTCTGCATGTTGAGGGGTGGGAGGAGGAATAAACCAGACACAGTCTCTTCTTTTTTTTTTTTTTTTTTTTAACCGACATTTGGTTCATGTTGCAAAGATAAGCGGACTACAGAAATTTACCTTCAGATGGAAAAAGAAATCTTTCCCACAAAGGGTTCAAGTTTGTTCCAACAAATGTCCTGAGCACGAAACAGCAAGGTTAAGAAAATTATGCATGCACATATAATTCTTTATTCTGATACCTTTCACTTTTTTTTTGCAGCGGGTGGGTGGTGTGTGGTGGTAAATTATTTGTGGAACTCAATTTGACAAAGAAAGTAGCACGAATAGTTGTCCAATAAAGATCATGCTGAAAGTCTCGAAGACCCAACAAGAAAACCACATTAATTAGACTATATCTTCTGACTAGTAATATTCATAATTCTTAATATCTGCTTTTGGGTTTTAAATCAATTTTTTGACAGTGACTGACATAAAACTTCTTGTGCTCTGCATTATTAATTGATTTCTCGCAACAGAATAATTACTCTTGTGGTGTATAAGTTGTAAAGAGCAAAAATTCTTGCAGCCAAACCTTTTATTTGTCCAGAAAAAATAAATTGCCGTCCGTTCTCGTGACCATGTGATGATTTTACTAAGCTTTCATACCAAAATCAAATTAACGGATGCAGGGTCATTATTGATAAACTAGTATGCAGGGTCATTACAAATTAATGGATGCTTTCCACTGTAGTCAGAAGTGTGAAGAACACTGGATAAACATAAAGAAATTCAATCTGAATTTCCAAGAGTTTCAACAGATAGAATATTTCAGATTCGTATTTCAATTTTCTACCAAAAAAAAAAAAAAAAATAGTGCTCTTTCAATGACATATCATTTATGTGAACGTAAGTGTTGGAATGATATAGCTACATTGCTAATTTAGCAGTGAATATCCTACACCAGTTAATGAGTCCAGTCAATACAATAACAAATCATTCAACTTTGGCCAAAATCTCAAGAGGAACTGTTCAGAACTAAGCAATATAGAGCACCAAAACATAGTAACAGTTACATGTGAGTGAAGAGAGGAGAGAGAACCTATAATCTGTGAGACCAAGGTGAAGGCAAACATGAGTCTCTTGAAAGGAATCATTGCCACCACTAAGGATGTATCCTCCATACTGTCAAGTTATCGATTGAATAAATAAATAATAATACAAAATTTAACCACTGAACCATATGAAATGCCATTCACACAAATATCTCAATTTAGTACATCTTGTTTAATGAGTGAATAAAGGAATCAAATCCCAAAGTCTACCAAATCTGAAGGGATTTTTTTTTTTTTTTTTCTTTTTTAAACACTCCAGTACACGCTCAATTAGACACTGCATTATGTATATGCACAAAAACATATCCGTTTCACAATTGTACCTTGCTTACTGGGAAAACATCGTAGCCGCAAAGAATTCCGGGACTGACGACCAGACTCACATTGCACAAAAGCAGTGAATGAATTATCACAGTGATTTTGAAAGAGTATCCTTACCCTAAACTTTAGTCCATTGAAGAGAGAGGAATTTTGTTGAACTCTCCCATCCCATATCTGACCAAATCAATAATCTCAATCAAAAATCACATAAAACTGATACAATATACCACAGTTGAGCAGGAAAAGTGAACTCAAGAAATCAAATTTAACCTCGGAAATGGAATTTTCCAAACTGATATCCGGATGAGGAATCCGATCATATGATTGATCAAAAACTACAGATACCTGATATTTATTACAAAAAGGAATGAAAGTGCAATAAGTTATTAAGCAATGAATCAAATTTTGCCCGATACATAAAACTACAGTATACTTTAGATTAACAAGCGGAGCTTACCTGGGATGGAGAGAGGCCAGAGGGACATGAAAGAAGAAGCTTAAATGCGGGGAGATCGTGACCGTTGGTTCCATAACATTCCTCCATTTTCGCCATCGCCGCCAAATTAGTGCACTCTTCCGCTGGAGCGTTTTATGACTTGTCAAGCTTTTCAGGTGGACGCTTTTGACACTTTTTTAAAGGTTGAACCCAACGTTGCGGGCCCATCATCTCGTTCCTTGAGTTTTGTTGCGAGGGAGGCGAATCGCGAGACATTTTTCTGCAGGTCAGGAAACAAGAGCTATTTGTATATTGCGCCTATAAAAAATTTTATTTTATGTTTTAGGAATCGAACTTTCACCCGACGATTGCCAGTAAGGCCTAAAACTTTTGACACTTTTTTATGTTGACTGACTTGGAGAATAGGTGTGCTAAATTTGATTTAAATTCTGATTTAGAATCTTTAAATTGATCGGAAATCATTTTAAAGGAGAAATGCTTTTTCGACAGAAAAATATCTTTCTGAGATTCACAAGAGGTAAAAGCTATCAATCCAGTTGTACTAAAAAAAAATTATATCTTCCCATTAAAGCAGAATTTATATTTAAAAATCTAGAATTTAAACGAGAATGTAAAAATTGATATTGTACACTCAACTTCACACCACCGTTAGAGTTGCTACTAGAGAAAGTTATATTCAAAAATACTATTACAATTGATAAGCAACATGAACATAGTATTGGTGAATCTATTAGTGATGACAAAAAAATTCGTCCTGCCTCGAATGGCTTAGCTGAGCGAGCGGGGAGCTTCATCGTGGCGTGGGGTGGGGCGAGGATGCCCCATCCCAACCCCGTCCCGTGAAAGAAAAATTAAAAATAATTTTATTTCTAAACAATTCACCTGTTAAAAATTCATTTTGAATTTGTATTTTATTCTTTAATAATAACATAACTCGAAACTTTGAAAATGTAAAATAAAAAAAATTAAACAGGGCAAAAAGTTGCTCGGCCCCGCCCCGCCCCCGTTGCCATCGCTAGAATCTATGGTGGACAGACAACTTAAAGAGGATTATTTTCGGTAGAAGTTTAGATTCGTGGAGCTACCGAAAAATGGATAATCTTTAATGGTCTTGAAGAGGACAGGAATGCAACATTCAATTGTATATTACATTACTTGTCGATAAGTGTAATTCATGCCCTCATCTCGACTTCTCACCATGGTATTTTTGTTAGTATTTCGAGAAGTGTCAGTTTATATTGGATTTATTTTACTTTTGTATAGAAAGATAAAATCTTGACTTGGAGTATATTGTGGTGAAGGACAGAAAGAACGGTGATAAAATGGCAATTTATGTTCAAAGTTTCGAATCTAAAAGAACGAAGTTGTAATTGACGGAAAAGATGAAAATTTGGCTAAGTACAAAATTGGGTGAACAAGTAGTTTTCTCTAGAGCAAGATTTTCATTTGCTTGATTGTTATGGTTACTTTGTGCACGATTTTTAAACCCTAAAGTCATGTCCATATATACATGGATTCATGGAAGAATTTGGAGGCAAAAAATCCACAAATTCTCTTGAAGATTACATCAATTCCGGAATTTCTTAGGTTGAAAGCAAGAAGATAATTCAAGTTTGCTCGATGAGATTCAAGAGTTCAAACTTTGTCTTTTATTGTTATTCATTTATTTAATTTCTAGATGATGTTTTTACATTCTAATATGAGTTTTTATAACTCAATTGTGCACGGCTATAAGTTTTTTATACTCGTATGACAATGAAACCATATTTTTCAGTTGATTGCTATTTATTTAAACGCTTACAATACAAACACTTAATCACCATTAGAATCGACTTGTGATTTTTTATTTAGATTAAGAGTCTAAATATAAGTAATAATACATTAGCACAATAATTATAGAATATGAGATAGAGATATACCAACATACTTAGCATTAAATATTTTTGTTTTTCGTGCAATTACATAAATTGATTTCAAAAATGTTGTAGAAAGGCATGTCAGATTGGATTACTTTACTTAAACATTGAGGCTGCCCCCGAGGGACTATTATCGTTTCCAAATGAAGAAATTATGCCACATACCTATTTTGAAGTAAATATTTAGATTATACTTGTCAACTTATTTTTTACTATAAATACTATTTTTTATAGTAAAAAGGAAATGTTAAAAGTTAAACAAATAATACAAGTATCTGTTGACACATAAAAATTCAGCCCAAATCGAACGGTCCAAGAAATGAAATCCAATTGGAAGATCCCCAAATCAGATAGCCCAAAGAACGAAACTCAATCAAACAATTCAAGATGAAGGCCCAAGAACGCGGTAACGCAATCGCCCAAGTTTGCAAGTCGCCTAGAATTTGAGCGAATGGAGTGCCATGCAGTCGCCCAGAGTTGTTACTCTATTCTTGTCCAAACTTTCAAATCGCTCAAGGTCTTAACAAACATAAAGCGTTGTGGTTATCAAGAAATGCAGTTATCAAAGCAGTTATTAAAGCAGTCATATCACGTTCCACGATTCAAGGAATTCAATCGAAAACGGTTGAACGACGAAGAGTAATGTCAGCAGTTAAAAGAAGGCAGTTTTCATGACAAGCTGGCCATTATGAGGAAAGTGGTCAGTTGCAGAACGATCAAGCAGTTTTTAGACCGTTGATCACAAAAAAGATCATCCATGGAGTATAAAAGAGAGAAAAGACATAGAGCAAAGTACCGAATCAAAAACTCTCGAACAGAGAACATGTAATTTTAATTTCCTTAGTTTCAGACTTAAACACTTTTTTTAGTAACTCGTGTGCTTGTGCCCCTTGGAGGCATTTTGTTTTTTATTTCCAATTGTAAAGTCATCGCCAATAAAAGAACACCCCTTTTTGGGACTTTGTCTCAAGAGGTTTGTCCCTTACACAATCGTCTGATCCCTTTTAATTGTTTGCGACTAACCCGCGCGAAACAATTTGGCACGCATGGTGGGACAGTGGTGTTTGGTGTTGAAAGTACAAAAGGTGAAACAATATGCCTCAGAGATCCGATAAGGAAGCAGCAAGTCAGGGAGGAGTCCAGTCTGTGATCGAGCGATATGAGGAGCAGCATGTCTCTCCACGAACAGATGGACAGAATCAGAGCAATAACAGTCGTTACGAACCAATGACGGAGTTGAGTCCTCGAACCATGCGTGCATTACTTGGAGAACTCACACAAGACGTTGTTGAACAGGTAAATCTCCAAAGTATTCATAATATGGGAAGATTTACCCAAAATGGGAATGCACATTATGACAACATGGCCAAACAACTAAATACTTTGAACGAAACAATGAATAAGTTAGTAGGCCAAATATGTCAACCGGTTATACCTCTTGCAAATCACTTTCAAATTAGGACAATTGTGGGACATAATCCCTCAGTCCTAAATCCGAATCAAGGGGTAGAACCCCTTTCTGGTCCCTCTACTTCAAACCAAGGGGGTACTGTAGCACCAAATCAGAACAATGGTAGTGGTACGCCTAACTTGGGGGTAATCCAAACATAAGAGATAATGTCCTAAACAATGGATAGCACACACCACGTGTTAATGAGGGACTAGATGTTCAGGCTAATGGTAATGGCCCTAATTATGATAATTTTGTTGCCAATCAAGGACCAAACATCAGGCCTCATGCAAATCAACCGGTTAATCAGCCTATAGGAATTCCATATGATCCCAACGTCATGTTGAGGAATCAGATTATGGAAATCGTACAGGATCAGATGGCTTTTGGGGTGCGTCCCATCATTAGGCCGACGTACACAAAGCCATATCCTGATTGGGTAGACCAAGCATATCCATGGCCTAGAGGGTACAAAGTGCCTGAATTCTCACTGTTTACCGGTTTATGAGAGGTGTCTACTCTAGAACACATAGGGCGATTCACATTGCAAAGTGGTGATGTAACCGATTACCATAAAATGAGGCTTTTCCCTAGTTCGTTAACAGGAGTAGCTTTCTCCTAGTTCATCAACTTGCCAGCGAACTTTATTCAAACATGGCAACAATTGGAACAGTTATTTCACGCTCAATTTTATAAAACTAAGTCTGAAATCACTTTGGCTGATTTGGCGAATCTACGTCAAATGTCAAACGAATGGGCAGAAAGTTTTTTCCAAAGGTTCAAGACAGCAAGAAGCAAGTGTTTTGTACCTCTACCCGAAAAAGAATTTGTCAAAATCGCTCAGGGCTGCTTGAGCTTTGATTTAAAGAAGAAATTCCAGGATAAGGAATTTCCTGACCTTTTTCAGTTGAGTGCGAATGTGATTAGGTATGAACGACTGATAAGAGAGGAAGAACAGATGAAAAATTCTAGTAAAGGGACTTAATACAAAGACCCAAATTTTGATGTTCATACCATCAGTGACGAGTCATACGACCAGGCTGAAATGTGTTTGGCCGAATTGGTCAAAGGAGATACATATAATTGTCCCATAATGGTCAAACCTAGACCATTGGGCAAAAATGAGCCCATAAAAGATGGAAACATAAAGGCTAGAACGTTCTCGTTCGATGTAACCAAAGCTGACCCTATATTTGATAAATTATATAGGGATAAGCAGATAAAGTTGAGCGATAAGCACAAATTGCCAAACCCTGAACAAATTAAGGGTAAAAAATATTGTAAGTGGCATAATGCATGTTCACATTTGACTAACAATTGCTTGGTTTTTAGCCATGTATTGCAGGATGCTATTGAATCAGAACGAATTACGTTCGACGATAAGAAAAAGATGGCAGTGGATGAAAATTCTTTTCCACAGCCACTTGGAGTGAACATAAAACAAGTTGCCCAAATTCAAGTTGGTCGTAGATGATGGAGAAGAGGATCCTAGACCACATCTCAGTGTATTTGAACGAATCAAGGGGAAAGAACCAAAAAAGGACGAAGACGTCCTGTGTGCAAGATGTAAAAGAGAAATAAATGGCAATACGGAGAAACCAGGGATATGGCAGCATCCCCATCGTCCTACCTTCTTCCCAAACACTCAGCCTGGTAGAGGGCGAGGTACATCATTCTATAGAGGACCGCCTTTTGAGAGGCAGTTCAGGCCAGCAGATAATGGAAGAACATTAAGGCCGCAACCTCGCCGGCCAAATGTATGGCATTCATTCCAGTAAAATGCAG